CTTGAAATCGGGAGGCGACATCAGCTCGTAAAGCGAGGGACACTCAATCAACTGCAGTCATTGTAATGAAAAAATCAGTCCTTGAAAGAAAAGAGCAGTAGAATGACATATACCAGCTGATGAGTGCTCCATTTAGCAACAAATAGTTCCTTCTGCCACCCCTTTAGAAACTCGACTCCGGTTAACAGACAGTCTGTGACAAAACCAGGTGCACCTACGGAGACGAAGCTAAGAATGCCAAGACAATAGTTTTTACCTTGCCAGGGAGCAGTGATCGCAATCCACGTATCGACATGTTTTTCGAAGAACTAGCAATACAAACTTGAGAGGACGAATTTAAAACAAAGCAATAAACACAAACCTCGTGATTGAGAGCAAGGAAGCACTTAACGAGCAGGCCACCCATGGAATGCGACACAATCTTCACCTTTTTACCTCCAGCGTGCTTGTACATCTTTTCAATCTTCTTTCTGAAAGCATCCATAATTTCCGGAAGCCTGCCAGAGCAAAAGTCACAAAGGGAAAGCGATTCAAAAGCTGATTTTGAGACCTGTTGCTTTGCCGAAAGTCATAACCAAATCCAAACACTTGCTCGTAGCCCCAGCTCAACATCTTCTCAATCAAATCGTGGAAATAGTAGACGACATTCATTCTGATAATCTGGAGGAACAAAAAATGTCAAGACAAGAAAATGTCAAGAGATAGCATCCTACCACATCAGGATCCAAGATGTCGCAACTATAAATCCCGTGCTCATCTTGAGGCACTTCGATACGAATTTTCTCATTCAGGGACACGGTCCTTCCTGTAAGTAGTGAAAAAATCAAACAGCTAGAAAGAGCTAGAAAGGGGCAAAGAGAAAAAACAAACACACCACAGTGCACACTCACCAGTCTTAGGGTCGAATTTGGAGTAGAGCTTCTCCCGGAATTCGGCATCGGCAGCGAAGAGCCGGACCCAAACACGCTCGGTGGTGCCATCCTCGTACACGGCATTGAGAATGGAGCCCCCAATTCCAGGCACCAGCAGCACCGGATTCAAATCCTTATCCACATACCGGCGCTGCCGCTCCCTGAGGATCCATCCCTCGACCTTGTGGATCAAATCCGCGATATTGACGAACATCCTCGCAGCTAGAGGGAAGCGCCGATCATCGCCAATCAATCCCCTCCCCTTCCCTTAAGTTTACGTTAGGGCTTTTGACAAAAAGATCCCAGGAATATCCGTTATGCTGATTTCGGTGATTTTGCCCTAAAAACAGGTTTTTAGGGTTCTTGAGGGAGATCAGGTAAATGCTTTCGGGTAGCGGCAGTGGCATAGGATTTTGTGCGCGGAAAAAGCAGTGAAAAGGAGTGATTGAACAAGCGCTATTTCTACACACGTTACGATTGTCAGAGTTGCCTTTGGAGGAGAAAAGGCGCGTCGAAATCAAGGCTGGCCGATGTAACACTCTATCTTGCGACAGTGTAGCACGGAAGAAAAAAGCAAGGAAGCGGCAAAAGAGACGCAAGGGTGGAACATGGGAAGTGGGACTGGTTTGCGAGAAACTTACAAGGTTTTGGTGTAGCATCCCAATCTGTGCAATGGAGGTGGTGTCAGGTATGCTCGAAGGGATGTCAGGGAAATATGGTGGCTGTGGTCCCTGGTCGCTGGGATGGATTTTTGCGAGGATAGGATTCGTAGAAGAATGTGGCAACGGAATTCGGTGGCATTTAAACTCGAGGCTTCTCAAGAACTCTGTCCGAGAACTCTCGAGCAGAGCATCAAAGCTTTGGAAGTTTGCCATGGCCTTTGGATCGCGTCAGTACGCGGCTTTTGCGTTGCTCCTCTCGCTCGCCATCCAAGCTGCTGCTCGGCAGTCGTATCAGCAAGCTTGCCGCGAGTCGAATGCCGGCGATCCAGAGTTTTGCATAAGCACTCTGGCCAAGTATGGTTTGGAGGGGATGGATGTTGCGAGGGGCGCTCCAGGCCGGTTCGAGCTCGTCTCCTCCGCTCTCAGGGCTTCTCTCGATGGTGTACACGAGGAGATTCAGATGTGCCAGAGCTACGGAGGAGGGACGACTACTTCCAGTGCTCTTACTTCCTCCAACGACGGTGAATTGGCCAGCAGTAAGTTCCGCAAGGTGGCCATAGACGACTGCGTGGAGCTGCTCACTGGTGCGTCGGAGATGATCGGAGACTCCCTGGGGAGCTCTCTCAGGAACGCCAGCACCTCGAGGCTCAACGACGTTCATACGTGGGTCAGCTCGGCCCTCGCGTACCAGACGACATGCTTGGACGGCTTGAGCCAGATCTCTCCCGGGCAGGAGGTGGTATTTCAGCTGAGCCAAGAAGGAAGTAAAGTTGGGAGGAGGATAAGCACTGCACTCGCGTTTATAGCAACTTTGCAATCGATCTCGCCGACCAGCGGCACAATTAACGACGTTAGCTGGGTGCCAGAGCTTCTAAAAAAGAAACACAAGAAGGCCGTCACTGCGAATGTGATCGTTGCTCAGGACGGAAGTGGACGATACTCGACTATCAAGCAGGCCGTGGAGGCTGCTCCCAGCAAGAGTGGCAGTACCTACGTGATTTACATCAAGGCCGGGACTTACAGGGAGACAGTTTCGGTGCCAAAATCCAAGACCAATCTCATGTTTGTTGGCGATGGGATTGGGAAGACCATCATCACGGGCTCCAAAAGCGTTAGCGATGGAGTCACGACATTCAGGACATCTACTGTCGGTCAGTATCGATGTTTTTCCTTTCTCGCTTTTGTTTGGTAGGACACTACACAAGTTGGTTCTTTTCAGAGATAAACGCGAGAGGATTCCTTGCCAGAGACTTGACAATCCGAAACACTGCCGGGGCCGCCAAGCACCAAGCAGTGGCTCTTCGCGTCAGCGCTGACAAGGTCGCGTTTTACAAGTGCTCCTTCGAGGGCTACCAGGACACACTCTACACTCACGTCGCGCGCCAGTTCTATCGCGAGTGTATCGTCTACGGAACCGTCGACTTCATCTTTGGCGACGCCGCGGCCGTGTTCCAGAGCTGCACGCTTCTGGCTCGCAAGCCGATGGCGAAGCAGAAGAACACGATCACCGCCCAGGGACGCACGGATCCAAACCAAAACACCGGCCTCAGCTTCCAGGACTGTAGCGTTGACGGCACTCAGGATCTCAAGGGCAGTGGAACTCCAACTTATCTAGGCCGGCCATGGAAGAAGTATTCCAGGACAGTGTTCTTGCGGTGCTACATGGGGAGCGTGGTGAATCCGGCCGGGTGGCTCGAGTGGGATGGAAGTTTTGCGCTCAAGACGCTCTACTATGCCGAGTATCAGAGCAAAGGGCCGGGATCTGGGACCGGGAATAGAGTTGGCTGGTCGTCACAGATGAGCTCGTCTGTGGTGGCTAATAAATTCACTGCTGGAAGCTTCATCTCTGGGTCGGATTGGCTTGGACAGACTAGTTTTCCCTACTCGCTTGGGATATAGAAAATCAGGTACGTCATAGTTCTACGTGATAGTGTTCCAGTGTGAATTGACGGTTGACTTTTAAACAAATAAATTACGACTGCTTCAAGAAGTCAATGAAAGTCAAATAAAGTCAATGAAAGTGTTGACTTTGCAGAAAAAGCACTGGGATCGGAGCTTGAATTCTTCCAGGGATGAAGTTACATCCTCCCCACTGGACTTATACAGCGTGACTGTAACTGAGACAAGAGCTCCTACCTTTGAAAGTAACAAAAGTAGCCGAATCAAAACAAAATACAGATGGAGAGATCTCGATCGTTGTACAATTGGATCTACTTACGTTACGGCCCAAGCCGATGGAATGAAGCAATCTGTCACTTCATGAAATCGAAGTGGGTACCATAACGGAAACGTTTGTGAAACGAAAGCATTTGGAGTTCTAGCAGTTGCTCCAAATGCCGGACATTAACAACTTTCAATCAAAGAACCTCGTCTTTATTTGCTAAAAGTCTACCGGAGGAACTCCGCGATAGCTCAATGGAAAAGGGCAGAATAAGTTAATGGATGGGGGCATTGCGAGAATCGAACTCGCGGCCTCTCGCACCCAAAGCGAGAATCATACCACTAGACCAAATGCCCATTACATTCGTGATAAGTTGGGTATGTACCACCTCGGAGCTTGCACGAGCCAATTTCACAATTTGGTAGACTAAAACTGGATTTATTTTCCTCGACCGGTGGGCGGAAGCGGAGACAATTCTCCTGAAAGGCATCTGTACCAAAAGCAAACAAGAGATCCGGAGCTACACTCCATCGTTGTACATCAGCAAGGTGACATGGCTTGGAGAGGATCTCAAAATCTTGAGATTCCACTTTTCCGTACATTTGGATCTACTTGCGTTAAAGAAATGGGAAGCTGTTCAAAGGAATGAACCGGCCAGTCGCTTCATAAGTTGCAGAATCCGAAGTGCATGCTCGAGAACGGAGGTACTATAGAGACTGTCAACCAGCTCAGCACCAGACGCAGCTCGTAACATGATATCAGCACCAGTGATTATCGACCTTTTTTTTTTTCTAGCTTGTGACGTGCGCCAAGTGGAACACTTGACAGAAACAGAGACTGATTGGTTTCGTGAATTTGGATTTGACAATCAAAGAAGGTATAAACATCTACCTCATCACCCGGAGGAACCCCTAGAGCACACCCGAGACACGAAGAGAAAAGGCGAGACGTTCGATCAGGGTGGCGTAAGTGGAAACATCCGGTTGTGTCCAATAAGAAGTAGCGAAGAAGAAACATCTGGGGCCATTGTTGGGCAAAGCTAGAGAACATGAAAACATAAGTGTATGACCAATGAATAAAAGAACACTGACCTGAAGTTGATCACTTTGGCTGCGAGGTTTTTTCATACATTGCATAAGCTCGCAGCATTCCTCAGATTCCTTTGCTGCGATTTTGAAGAAATCTTGCTAAGGGCTGGAAAATGTGTTTTTTTAATATGTTTGTGTGTTATTTTTGTCTTATCTAATAAATGTAATTGATATTTACTTCATCAATTACTAGCACCTTTCTTTTTATGTTCAAATAAATTACAAACTTTAATTAAAAATATATTCAAGTTTCTCCTTTACCTAGGAGTGTTCAATGTGGAGAACCCTTGGAGTACGCTCTGGGTTCTCAAACCCCTCGAGGAGCTGTCATAAACACAATTCCACCATGCCAGCAGCAGCAGCACGGAGAATGGATGGAAGGCTCATAGCTCAGGAAATCAAGGATGATATCGCAGAGACGATAAGAACTGGCGGCGCCGAGGTGGGTTTCGCGAGGCCTGGATTGGCGGTGCTTCAGGTGGGAGATAGCCCTCAATCGCAAGCTTACATTCATAACTTACGAACAGCGTGCACAGAAGTTGGAATCAAATCCTTCGCTTCGCAGCTGCCCGAAACAGCGACGCTCCAGGCGATCATACAGGCGCTTCGAACGTTCAATGGAGACGAGAGCGTTCATGGCATCGTCGTCCAGCTCCCACTGCCAAAGGTAAGAAATCACCCACGACTTGCCTCTTCATCGTTACTTGCCTCACTGTTTCAGAAGATCCGGCCGGAAACCGTGCTCCAAGAGATAAGTCTCGAGAAAGATGTGGATGGCCTCCATCCCCTCAACTTGGCTAAGCTGGCTCTCGATGATTTCCAGCCAAGTTTCGTGCCATGCACCTCGCGAGCTTGCCTGGAGCTTCTTACTCGATACAAGTTCCAAGTCGAGAGGAGGAAAGTGGTGGTCATTGGTTGTAGCAACGTCGTCGGCCTTCCCACGGCGCTACTCCTCCAGAGACACAATGCCACTGTCACAATCGTGGATAAGCACACGCCAAAACCAGCAGAGATTGCTCGGACTGCTGATATCCTGGTTGCTGCCACAGGAAACGCAAATCTTGTGAGAAGAAACTGGATCAAACCCGGAGCTGTCGTTATAGACATAGGAATGAACCAAGTAAAGGTGAAGGTGTCCTCTTCTTACTTGGCTTGTAGAGCTTGACTTTTTATCTCCAGGATCCTAGCTCGGAAGAAGGATTCCGATTCGTAGGAGACGTTTGTTACGAGGAGGCTGAGAAAGTAGCGACCGCGATCACGCCGGTTCCTGGCGGAGTCGGCCCGATCACCATTGCAATGGTGCTCTCAAACACACTCCTTGCAGCGCAGCGTAGAGACCATGCAAAGAGAAAACCTCTATAAAACATCAAAAGTATCAGGAACTAAAGCTCCATGTATCGGACGTAAAAAGGAAGAACAAAAAAAATCATATACTCAAGAACGCTCGGTTTCATGTCACGTTGAGAGATGATCCGTTGTCCGCTGCTGTCAATGCGAGTATAAGCGTCGCAGCAGCGGGAGCCCTGTTACATTACAAGCGTAAGTTGTAAGTAAGAAGCTTGAAAAAGAAAATTTGAGCAACACTCACCATGTTTCCGGGGTCTGGTACATCGCTGCCGAAGTTCCAAAACATGTCGTTAGCATGTCTGTGCAGATCACTCCTGGATTAAGAGCCACAGCTGCTATTCCAGGAGGTAGCTCTTTAGCCAGCGAGCGAGTAAGTCCTTCCATCGCCCACTTGGATGCACAGTATGGAGATACCTGTGACAAAAGCTCGATCTTAGCAAGAGAAAAGAAGAAAAATCGCTCGGGAGAGCTTATACCTCGGCAGCTGCTGATCGACCCCATCCAGATGAGAAGTTTACAATCACTCCTTGCTTCTTGGACATCATGTGAGGCACGAAATGGCGGAGGCAATTCGCAGGACCTTTGATATTGACATCGATGACGTTGTCAAATTCTTCCCTGGCAACCTCCCACAGTTTCCCATTGCTGTTGATCACACCTGCATTATTAACTGGTATGCAACGCTGCAATGAGAAAATCATGCTTCCTTTCAGGAAGAGACGAAAGAAGAAAGAAGAAAAAAGAAGGGAAATTTGTGTTCTTACCAAGAATATCGGGAGCTCCTTTCAGCTCGATCACAGCTCTAGCAAACTCCTGGACGTTGCTATCTGAAGCCTATAACGTCCAGAAAACAAGAAAGAAAAAACTCGTCAAGAACATAGACAGAAAAGAAAAGAGAAAGACTTACAACGTCCACAGCTCTAAGAATGTGCTTGCTATCGCCCAGTTGATTCTGCAAAGAGGTGAGCTTCTCCTCGTCACGCCCACACCCTATAATCGTGTGACCCCTGGAAGCAATCTCCAGCGCCAGAGCTCGCCCGAGTCCTCTCGTCACGCCAGTGATCAACACTGTCCGCGCTGTGCAATCGATCGAGCAAACCATCAATGCCTGGAGAGGAAAGAACGATCAAAAGAGCACCGGCTTGAGGAGCTCCCGCCGCACCTGCAGGCGTCCCGGGGCTCACCAGCATCGCCGTGTTCTTCGACATGAGCCCTAACCCTAAAAAACACTTTGCCCTAAAAACTCTTAAACCTTAGACCCTTAAAACCCTAAGAAAGAGAAGAAGCGCACAATGCCAGGGTCTTTGGCAGCCAGCCGAGCAGCCAGCCAAGCCACCCGGGTAAAAAATAGTCAGAATTTACGGCCCGCCATTTTTTTTACACTGGCATGTTCTTACAATCATTGACTGCGCCACCCCCCTTGCTCCTTTGCAATGCCGCCCCAGAGAAAGACCAGATGTTTTTTTCAAAGATCTCGAGACCGGACGGGGCGCTGTAAGGCCGAGTAAACAACTTAGGACCGCCAACTTTGTATGAAAAAAATTGGAAAGGGGTTTTCACATGTGCCAAGTTGAGGCCCAAAAGAGGGATCCTGGGGTTTTAACTTTTTACCAGGGAGTGTTTCTCTATTCGTGCAAAGGCCAATATGCATTGATGCCCAAGATCGTGCATGTCTCTTTTTGATGGCGAGGGGGCCAGAGAGGAGCCCTAATTAGTGGAAAGGTTTTTAACCTTATCAGATCGAGACGTATCCGCCCTGCCGCTAACAAATTTCCCACTCCAAGGACGCCTTTAAGGCCCCCCTCCGCGCAGCGAGCGAGGAGTAACAGAGAACTTACAGCGATCAGATATAAAAGAATCGCAACAATCACCCTGTGATGGGAACCCTCTGAGTAAAGAATGGAGATTCACCCCCACTGGCTTAATTGTTTTAATCCTTGCTGGGAGGGGGATTTAACTATCCCGGTCAATCGCCCAGTTAGCAGTCCAAGGTGGAAGAATGCCCGACAAGAAATCTAACCGAGAACAAACCTCATCTCCCCTTTTTTCCTTGTTAAATCAAATCCCCGCCCCTTGCAAAAGTCTCCACATTATAATCTTTTTGGCTTGGCTTGGCATGGCAGGCACCCACAAAAGAAGCGCTGTCTCTTTCGCATTACAGTATACCCCTCCTTCTCTATCAGACCTAAAATTAAATGGTGGCGAGCAAGAATTTCTTCCACCCGCCCTGCGCGCTTGCTTGCTTGCCAGCCCGGCCAGCATTTGCTCGCCCTGAACTCGATCCCGTGACCGGGTCATGTAGTTTGTCGCTGTCACCCAACTTACAGTGTTTAAACCCCCTCCTCCTTTTTACCTTTGCTCCTCCCTGGGCACAATAAAGCTGGAGATGGGGGAATCTTGGAGCGTATAATATTAGCGGGGTCTCCAAAAGCAGCAAAAAAAAGCCCGTAAACCCAAAACCTTTGAGTCGTGATTTGTCTCCCCATGTGAGTAGCAACAGCAAATCCCCGCCCGGGTTTGGCGGGAATCGACCCCGCGGAGTGTCAAGAGATTCCGGGAATCAAACCCGAGAAGCCCAGATATTCTCTCGCATCAAAAGCTTGTGTGTGTATTGTGGTACGTGGAGGTTTCGATCACGACGACGAGCAACGCCTCCCACACTTACACACAGCTCACCACCACACTGGTTGGAAGTGTTTGGTGTAAAATCTGTGAAGAAACACCAAGAAACACGTGGTAATAGTAAAATCGCCAAGGGAAAATAACATCCGTGACTTACAATTGGAAGAACCCTTTTGGACTGGCGCTCACAAACTCTTTTCACCAGCTGGGTGAATATCCCCTCAAGGCTAGTAGCGATACAAATATCTCGCCAGTATTCTATACACCAAGGGTAAATAACAAACTAGCTAACAGAGGGAGTGAGACCTTTCCAGCGCAGGCAAACAGGTAAAAAAACAAAAGATCACAGGAGCCAGGTAAGTAGCCTGGTCAAACTTGACCACCCACACATATGGTGACAGGTGTCGCCAGCCCAAATGGCCGAGCCGCTAGCAGTCAGAGGCGCAGGGGGTTTAAATAGGGCATTCTTTCCGCTAAAACAGTAAACAGTAAAAAAATGGTGGCTAACAGCTAAACGGAAAACGGAAAGAGTGGCCGTGTTATGATGGCCACCCGCTAAAATCTATCATGGAGATTCACATTCCCGCTATACATAATACATTCTTGTATTTAGCTTCGTCCCCTAATGTGGCAATTAATTAGGTGACTAATTGATGCGGGTGTTTGTTTTTGGTTCTGGAACGTTCGCCCTCTCGCGCGGCGCGAGCCATGTCACCGTCTATACGGTACGGCCGCGTGCCTATTACGGTCCTCGCATGGTGAAAACCCATAATTCCCCTTACTATTTTCAACTTTTACACCGTAGAGCCGAGTGGTGTGGCATTGGCCAGTGGCAATATACGTAGTAGTAGTGGCAGGTATAGTAACAGGGGAGTAAAAACTACGCAAAATCTCATTATCGCAATCTACATTTTCCGAAAATGTGGCGGACGTGAAATTGCCGCTCAAATTCAGTTCACTCGTCTCAAAGTCTTCCATTTGTTTTGTAGAGAGGCCTTTTTTTTGCTTTGTGTGAGAGCTCTTTAGGTGTGAGAGCTCTTTAGGCCTAGAGTGTATTCTTTGAGGGCGAGAGTGAGAGAGAGATCGAGGGCGAGAGAGAGAGAGAGAGTGAAGCGCTGGCTATGGCGGACCGAGGCGGCGAATCGCCTCCATCGCGGCGCCTATGAATCGATCCGCCGATCTTTCATCGCGCCAGCAGCGAAATATCGCGATTGCCGCTTGCCCGATCTTTCCTCGGCGCTGCGCCATGGCGATCCAATAATCAGGGCGCGAGGTCGCGGCAAGGCGGTGCGCTATCGATGGATTTTGGCGATGTGCTGTTTTGCAACGAGGAGATTCTCGGCAGCCCTTGCGAGGGCAACAATGCCGCTGTGGATTTCTCCGGCGACAACACATCGGATGAGCCAGGGCTCCTGCATTTCGATGATGCCGTCCCCTTGTCGAGCATCGTCCAGCGCGAGTCCGGCCATCTCCCCGACGCGGGATATTTCGCGGTCCTGAGGTCCGAGGATGTGATCTCTTCCGCTAGATCCAATGCCGTGTATTGGATGATGAAGGTGGAGCTTTCTTTCTTGCCGATTCATCCATCTCTTATGTTTGTTTCCTTGGATTTGATGCAGGTTCGCAATGTCTATAGCTTTAGCCCTCTCACGATAGCGCTTGCTGTCAACTATTTCGATAGATATCTCTCCAAGCAGCTATTGAGGGTAAGCACTGCCGGATCCATGCTCTTCTACATTCCTTTTTTGCTCATGGTGGTAACTTTACAGACTTGGAAGGCATGGATGATTGAGCTCTTGACGGTGGCCTGTTTATCTCTTGCTGCTAAGATGGAAGAGCCCGATGTTCCAATGCTGCAAGATTTACAGGTGCAATGCCTGCCATGCCCCTCCCTTGCAATCTTGGCGATGTCTTGATTTTGGTAGATTGATCTGGGTTGAACTCGCAGATTGAAGGCCTAGACCATATCTTTGAGTCGAAAACAATCCAGAGAATGGAAATTGCCGTCATGAAATTGCTGGGCTGGAGGATGGGCTCTGTAACACCGTTCTCCTACATCGAGGGATTGCTCCAAAACCTGGATGTGAGCCGCAACATGAAGCTGTCGCTGTTGAATCGCACCAGTGAAGTGCTGGTGAAGACGCTGCCAGGTGAGCAAAACAGTCTCTTTTGCCACTATAGTTTCGGGTGAGCATATATATCTAAACTTCGATGTTTTGCAGAGATGGATTTTCTCGCGTTTCCACCCTCGGTGGTCTCACTCGCAGCCATGAGCTGTGCACTGGAAGAGCTGCTCCCTTTGCGGGCCGAAGCATTGAAGGGGAGCCTAGCCAAAATTCTCCCAACACCGCAGGTAAAGTCGCATTTTTTTAAGTGAAAGGTTTTTTTTGAGGTGTGACATTTATTGGTTTTGGTCAGGATCAACTTCGTCGATGTTATAGGTTGATGGAGGAGTTGGTGGTGGATCCGCTGTGCCCGCTTCTCTCCGTGAGTCAGGTTCTGGAAAACCGCAAGGCGTCGCCGAGCCCATACAGCAACGGCGAGGTCTCGCAGACGGGTGAGAGCTACCCGGATTGGGACGAATCCGGGAAAGCGCAGCATGCGTGCTCAAAGTCCGTGAAGCGGAAGCTGGACGAGTTTTTAAAGGCAGAGGGGTGACGGGGCACAGCAGGGCGAAAGGATTTGGCTCCCATTTTGCAGCGGAGGATTGTAGAAGGAAGCAGGACGTCCGGCGATGAGGAATTTAGATCACCCGAGTCTCCTGGGATTGCTGGACGGTAGAACATCTTCCTGTTTTTTTCCATCATGCTCGGGGTGTTCTGTGGTCCAACACTGCCCCTCTGCAACTTCTCAAGGAGAGACGAGGGGGTGGTGATATAGCAGACAGGCAACGAGGCAAATTTGCGGCAATGTACATTCAGTATGATATAGTCTGGAGTTAGGCGATGGTTTTTGGAGCAGGGCTTTGGTTTTCACACAGGGAGAGACACACAACACACAAACACAGATACAGAGACAAAAGACAACACACATTCCACCACTACGGTTTTCGTCTTTTCAAGGGCGGGCTTTTTTCTCCTCGGGGGCGGAGGATTTGGTCAGTATCGGAATGCTCGCTCCTCAGAAGTTTAAAGTTGACAACGGCGAGGAGGGAGTTATGGTATGTAAACTATCTATCAGCTAGAGCTACAACTACTACTACTACTACTGCTGCTGCTACTAAGTGAGGTGGGATTTGCTACGCAAAGAGATGTCAACGAGCCAGTTGAGGGGTCCAGTGGCCGTGAAGATTGTCCCCGTTCCTTGGCCTTTATTGTTATGGTAGAGTGGCTTGTACCGTGAACCGTCGAAAAAGGAGCTGCACTTGGAGGTGGGCTTTGATGGTTCTTTGATTGTGAAGAAAGAATTCACCCGAAGGGGTATAATCCATCCACCAGAGCGGGCTCTTGTTTGGTGTCCGGCCGCGGTCCATCCATCGTATCCTACCGTATCCTCGTTTGGTCGTAGGCTACCACCCTTCCTTTTCTTCGTTGCTCTTAACTTTTGTTTGCGCGTGTTTGTTGCTTTCGTTTTGTTTCAGGTTAGTTTTCAGGTGGATTGTGAAGACGAGAGTTTAAACTCTTTGGAGCCTGGCTGGATGGCGCTTGCTCGCTCGACCAAGGAAAAGCAACAGAGGTTTCATTCTTTTTGTTTTCAATCTGGCAGTTATTAATTCCCGTGCTGTTGCTGCCGCTGTTGCTGCTGCTGCTGCTGCTGCTTACAGCGTTGTGCATCCAATCTGGAATGGAATCGAGGCGTGCTGCTGCGACTGCCGACTGCTTGCTGGCTGCCGGTGGCCCTCTCTCACTCAGATCCAGATCTTACTTTTTATAAGCTCGCCACCACAGCAATCTTTTGAGTGTGTGCTAAGACGAAAGGACGACGGACGGGGGTAAGTGTACATTCACACTCATATATTTGTTTCTGCTTTGTACCGCTTGCTAGCTAGGAGCACATTATTGCATCGCATGCCATCGTCTTCTTTTTTCTATTAAGCTGCTTACTTCTCTCTCGCAGTGCTTAACTCATCGTCAAATCTGTGTTTCCTCCAAGCGTGAACAGGAGGCGTAAGATTTGCAAAAACTCCAGAGTATCTCGCAGTCCACCCAGTCGCTCGCTCGCTCGATCGCTTCGATCCATCTTTGTGCCGCACTCCACTCCAAACTCCCACCCCGCTCACTCTCACCCCTCCACTCCACACAGCACAGGCCGCTCCTCCGTTCAGAAGGCACAGATGGTGTGAGCGACTGACATAAGGAGGGTGTGGAAATGGCAGGACTGCCACAATCCAGAGGCGTTTATAAGCGTGAAGTATAGAGAGAGGCAGCAGCAGGGGGGAGAGCAGCCAGCCAGCAACTGTAGCTACAGCAACAGCAGCACAAACAAGCAGGCGGGCCTCTCTCTCTCTCTCTCCTTTTTTTTCTCCACTCTCTTTTTAACAACTGTGAATGGATAGCTAGGAACTGACGTTCTACACGATGGGAAATTTAGAGCTGGCTGTGGACTGCGCCGGTCCGGCCCGGCTCGGCTCCACACTCGCGTACCCCGGGTTTGGTCCTTTCTCGTTGTTTGTTTCTCGCTGTTTACTTCCCCCTCTCTTTTTATTTTTTTTTGCTTATCGCTTTCTTCCAGTGACGGGAGATCACAGCAACAAGAAGGAAACAACAACAAGGGGCAGCAGCACGCAAGTACCTATGTTTGGAACTTTGGATCTTTGGATAGAGGTGAGTGACAATCTTTTATTGCTGGACAAGAGGGTCTCTGGGAAAGGGTTTAGAAAAGATATATGTTTTTTTGTTTGGCCTGAGCGTTGCTTGCTTGCGGCTGGGGTATCATTGACAAGTGAGGCGAGGAGGAGACTTGGACCAGTTCCTTGTTTTCCTTTCTCGTGATTTTAATGCTGCTGGGTCTCTGCTTGCAAGTCGAGAACCCGAGGAGGAACACAGCTTCGATTGCCGCGTCGAAACTAAACTTGATAAATTGGATGGGAAGATGAATCGTCTTTCGCGGCGAGAGTCCATCATTCGCTTTAAATTTGAAAAGATTCCAAGGAAATATGCCTAGCATTCAAATAGTAGGGTTTTGCCACGTGGAGGGCGGACAAGCGTGGCAAGCTCACAAGCTAAAGACTAGTCTTTGTTGCTATGTATGTTACAACCAATCAAAACCAAGTGCCAAGAACACGATCGATCCACACAAACTCTTCTCTAATGTACACAGATATGCTCGTCTATGAATCTTTGTCTCGATGAATGCGTGCCTCCAAGAATTTTTTTCGTTTTTTTTGTGGTTTTCTTGCCCTCTGCTACTGGGACGATCGCTTCTTCTTTGAAGCAGCATCGCCGTCGCCACCGCCACCGCCACCGCCACCGCCATCGTCCGGCTTACTCCTCTTTCTCGAAGCGTTGCTCTCGCCCTCGGACGAACAGGCTCTCAAGGTGTCGAGAAGTAGTACCTGGCTTGAGGACGACACTGGACAGATTGGATCCACAAGCACGTCCTCCACAACCCCGCAGCACTTGTCAAAGCTAGCCTGTGATCATCGATAGCAACCAAGATCAAATACCAAAGCGCCACCACCAACGTTTACCTCTTCCACGAGTAGCATCCCCAGAAGAAGTTGCTTCAAAGCTTGAGCCTGCAATGGGACAGTCTCTTGAAGAGCACAGACCGTGGCCGCCACCGCCACGACCGACGCAGAGAAATCGAGGAAAACAATCTCTGCCACCCACAAACCAAGCGGTATTTCACAAACGAACAAAACAAGTGGAAGCTTGCCTGCTAGAGTCCCCAGGAGAAGCTCGTTGATTCTATTCCACGCCAGTAGCTTCAAGTGTTGCTGGAGCTCTATGCTGCGCAACAATCCCCCCACGAAGGAGAAGGCCGTGATCGAGTTCAGTCTCCACTCCAGCAACTTCATCACCGACACCTCCATTCTCTGGATCGTCACGCTCTCGAAAAGGTGCTCCAGGCCCTCAATCTGACCAAGAGCAATCAACGGATCGTCCCGGATCGAAGCAACCAATCGCTGCCAACTTACCTGTAAATCCTGGAGCAGCGGCACGAAAGTCTCCTCCATTTTCGCCGCTAGAGATAAGCATGCAATGGATAGCAACTCGATCATCCAAGCTTTCCAAACCTGTAAGAAAAGCTTACAAACGGACCCCCAAAAACAAAACAAAAAAACTCGCTCGATCGATCGAGAGAACCTTGTGTCGGAGCTCCTTGGCAAGATATCTGTCCAAGTAGCTCACCGAGAGCGCCACCGTCGCGGGGCTAAACCCATACACGCCACGAACCTAGACGAAAGAAGAAAAAGATCAAGAAAACGGGGCATCGGCTAAGAAATCTCGATCGATCGCAAGAAAGAATCCATACCTTGATCATCCAATCCACGGCATTGGATCTGGCCGCGGAGACGAGCGGCTGGGACTCGAGACTGGAGCGATATTGGGGGCCGGGAGAATGCGCGACCTCCCGGCTCGCAAGATTCCTGAGAGCTTGCTCCTCGCCGTGGCGATCCATGTCGATCGCGCGGCACAGGAGATGGGGAGCCGCCGGGGGCCAGGCGCGGCCGCTGCTGCTGCAAGGGCTGGAGCTGCCGCTGGCGCAGCTGCCGATGTCCTCATTGCACTCGAGGAGGAGGAGATCGTCATCGCCGTCGGCAGCGATGGCCATTCTTCTTGATCGGCGCTGCTCACATCCTGGATTTGCCCTGGCTCTCCTTCTTCTTCTTCGTCAAGCCCAAGCAAGAGAGAGAAGAGAGAGAGAGAGAGAGAGAGAAGCGAGCGAGTAAAATCAATGAGCGCGATTGAGCCCCAAATTTCACGTCCAAATCGAAATAAAACTCGCTCATAATTCCCGGAAATACGAGGCCAGCTACTGTATCGCTCCCTGTACTTGGTATTTTTCTTCCCCTCCATGATGATTGGTTTGATTTTCATCCGCCAAGGTGTCCACCTTTATTTGAATCCATGGGATCAAACAATCATAACTTCAATATGCCTCCAATCTTTTCCAATCACACACTAAACCTTTGCGTGATCGGACCTTCCATCGATCGATCAACTCAATCGATTAGAAAATGAAAGTTTTTCCTTGACCAGAAACTTCGATCAAAGGTCAAGGTGAAATTGTTTGCCACTGTTTTTTCACTTTGGCCTTTGGTTCTTGGCGAATCCAACAAGTTGGCTGGATTTGGAGAAGGGTGACAATACACACACACACACACACACAGAGCAAAAACACTGACTGGGGCCTTTTGTCCAAATTGGCTGGGCTGGGTTTTTGGCAGGCCAGGCCGGGGAGATGCCAAACAATGGCAAGCTTCCAAACTCGCCCACGTCAGCTCGCCACGTCCGCGCCAGCGCAGCCCTAGCCTCCCACGTCAGCTGCCCCAACAAAGATTGACACAAGGGATTGTTTATCCCTCTAAATATGCCAGATCGAAACGCCATCTTGACAAACAAGGGAAACAGCCAACACCAGCCGTGGATCTGGGCTCCTCAAAATCTGGCTGCCAACTTTCTCCAAAAGTAAATCGAAAGTTTCGAGGTTAAAGGTAAAGATTGAGCAAAATATGAAGAGAAAAAGGTAAATAAAGATTTATGAAATGCATTTTTTTCTAGTTCTTGTTCTTGCTGTTCCCTTGAGATGGATCGAGTTTGTCCGGCCTTGAATCTGTAGCCATGCTGTCTCGCGAGGCGCACCGGATCCACGCCATGCACACGTGAAATCTCAAAATTAGGCTTACAATCTCATCCGAACACTGCCCCAGAAGGAATCATCCTACACCTCGGGAAGGAGCTTCACATCCTCGTTCATGGTCCGGCTATGGTTCTTTACCTTCCTCTCAGCCGATGATGGGCTGTGCTCTTCTCCACAGACATCGAGCAAGGCGGCTATGGCAGGATCGCGTACGTGTGGAAGAACTTCGGCATCGATTATGTGTCATGGGCTCGGCGGCCAGGGCTGGACACTTCCAATCGAGTACGAGTTCCCGGTAGCATCAAGCTCGCCTGGCCTCAGCGGCCAGCGCTGGACACTGCCAGCAATCCAGTACGCCTGCTCGGTGATCCTGATCCCGACTGGGGGAACTGCTGGCCCTTTCGATCCAGCATCATCGGGGGAGCTGATGAGGCAGTTGGCTCCATCATCGGCCGCAGCGCCACGCTCGTCTCGCCCAGCGGCCGCTACAAGGCGAGGATGCAGCGCGACTGCAACTTTGTGCTCTACGACACTTACCGCGACACGAACAAGGTGGTGTGGGCGAGCGACACCTTCGGCAAGGGCACTGAATGCTCCCTCATCCTGCAAATCGACGCAAATCTGGTGCTCCTCGACGCTAAGGGGACGATCTTGTTCGTGTCGGGCGCATTCTGCGACAGTTGCGCCCTCACCGCCGCGCTCTCCGTCACGGACGGGGGCTACATCGTCATCTGGGAGACCGACTACCAAACCGAGCTCTGGCGCAAGCCATAGCCCTAACCCTAATTTCCATACCAGGAATATTCGCAAGCTACCAAGAATATTCGTTGGGCGTTTTGGTGCATTTGGCCCTGAGCTTCTCCCAACCGCCTCGTCGTGCTCCCTGGCTACCTCGTTTGCGAGGCATGGTTCTTGCCTAAAAGCCCCTTCTTGGCGCCCTCGATTTCGTCCTTGAGCATTGCCTTGGCGTCATCCAGGACGCTCCGCCCCTCGCCCTCATCGTCACCTGCGCTGCCAGATTTTGCTTTCTCTGCCTGCTCGTATTTCTCGTTGAGGCCTGCTGCATGGCGTCCAGGGGCATTCCAACCTCAAACAGCTCGAAGAAATGACAGTGGATTTGGTGCATCAGTCTGCGGTCTCGGAAGAGCTGGTGATAGCCATTGACGTTGTCAACAAAGTTCTAGAAGAAACGACACTTGACGTGCCCGCGAAGCCTGTTCCTGTGACTTTGGAAGGGCCCGGGCCCAGCGTCATCCTCCAGAGCCTCCAATTCGACCGATGCAGATAGAACGAGAGAAATGCGTGGAAGAACCAGCTATACCCGTGACGAAGGCAGAAGACAAGTTTGTAGCTCCTGGTGCGAGTGTCGCAAAGCAGCACTGCGAGAGCCCGGCCAAGATCGCCAAGGAGCAGCTGGTTTCGGTCATGAAGGAGCTAAAGTCATGGCTATTGCTGGTGCTTACGGTTGATGGCTATGACATATCATAGGAATTCAAGACCGCAAGGGGTTTGACTCTCGACCACCAGGCTCTCGGCTTTGCGAAGTTGTTGGATCTCATGAAGAAGGTCTGGATGTGGTCCAGATATCATATCCCAGGCCTGGTCTCTGCAGGATATATCCTTCTGGGACGACTGCAAGTCAAGACTAAGGAGAAGGAGAAAGACAAAGACAAGGCCAGGGACAAGTGATATCATGCATCGGTTGAGAGGCTGGCCGTTGTCGTTCATCAGCAGGAGGGGTGTCTGTGATCTAGCATCCATTTACAAGGAATTCAAAGCCGAGTGTAAGTTGAAGCTAGAGGCTAATGAGCAAGGCTTCTCTAGTATGAGTAAGTTAGAGCAGTTTTCCAATATTGTCTACAGTATGCCTGTAAATATGGTTTTTTGTTTATAATTAGTTACAAAACTATGTGGTTGTGTCTGCAAAAAATAATCTATATGTCACTTTTGTGTTTTAGGAATGGTTTTGGACCATGACAGAAGTGGTTTTGCACATAGTTTGTTTACTAGTTTCTAGTATGATATATGTCTTATTTGGTGATCACTCTAAGAGTGGTTTCTAGTGTGGTTTCTTGGAGCAATTTAGATTTTTTATATCATTCACCAACATAAATATAGTTTTAAAATTATATGTGTGACTAATGGAGAGAGTAGGATTTGGAAGAATTTTTTGGGCTCTATATGCACCTAATTTTTAGCACAATTTATTTTTATATTTGAATACAAATTTGTTAACAATATATTTTGTAAAATATAGTAATGGTTTTAAATACATTTTCCTAGTAACTAATATTCTACCATTATAGGTATTTGTGGAACAAACCTTTTTTAATTGACTAATTTTCTAAACTTCACAAACCATTCAATAATATATGTTAATACTAACTTGATTTTAGTTTTATGGGCATTTGATGTAGAAATATTCTATGGTTATATAGTACTAGTTTACATTAGCAAGAGAAGGCTCTAATTAGAGTGGTAATTGCATTATTTATAGTAGTTACACTATCAAGAAGAGGCACTGGTGATTTGTAAGTGGTGCAATTTGTTCTTAATCCCTTTGTATGAAGTGATTAAAATATTGTACATATGTAATTTCTAGAGGATGAGCTTGTTAAACGTTATGGTGAACTTTATAAACTTGTGATCTAACTTGCCTCAACACTTGATACAATCCTTTCCTAAATGAACTATATATAGTAAGATTGGGAAAATGAACTAACACCAAATCATTTATTTTGTATTCCATTGCTATATGATGATGAGAGTTGTAGCACTAATATTATCTCATTTGTATGCAGCCCAAATATTTAATAGACTTTACTTAAATGAGTGAAAGAATGCTCGTCAAATATTGATCCTAGAAATTAACATTAGTAACTTGTGGTAATCATGAAGGTAAACCCAACTTTTTTTTCACAATATTGGATTATGATTATATAAAAGTTTATATAGTGAAGCAACAATGGAACTTTATACCTTAGTGACATATGCATATAAAAAAGATGGCAAATAACCATCCCAATCTAAATATTAAAAATTTATATACTTTACATTCCGCAAACTTGTGGCAACAGGCCGAGCAATAGAAGTTAAACTCGAGCATGTATCAACAAACATAGATAAACCATTCATCTATGTAGTGCATATGATCATGGGATGATTGGATATATTGTCACCGTGGATTTTTGAAACCTTAGGGGATAAATGGGGATAAAATAGCTGTTAAGAGCTCTCTCATAAAGCAATTGTCTTTTTTTAGTTGGCTTAAGGGGAGAGAAATAGGGTGCATTACATGTACCATAGAATAATCACAAAGTAGAATATAGACCTTCTATGTGTTATATGTCACATGCCATGTATTCAAAGATAGTGGTGTAGAACTCGAGTTTCAAGACCTTGGGCCACTAAATGAAACAACGGAGCCAAACTCTTAAGCATGGAGCCAAGGAACAAAGATACTAGAGCATAGAGTAACTCCTGAGCGTACAACCCAAGAAACAAAAAGATAGGACTACAGAGCGACTTAGAACAATTCTAGAGGATCTAACATCCCAATGCCAAGACTAGCACACAAAACGGAGCCAAACAGAGTTTAGCGATATTTTAACATACTGGTGGCATAATGCGAAAATATAAGTATTTCACCAATTAGCATGATATGGAATTTGGGCTTAGACCCAAGCTGGACGCAAAACAAGGATAAGCATATAAGCGAGAGCTAGACTATGCCTTAGGTTGGTCGGCTATGCCCGACTTACTCACTATCCTTATTATACATTTGGAACCCTCCATAACTCATCCCATGATCACATATGCTACACTCACCCCCCCTTAAAAAATGTCAATGTCCTCATTAACTATTAACTAACAACTTTTATTAAGCCAAAGGGAACTAACACCTCCATTTCCAGACTAAATCTACCAATTCTTCCATTATGTAAACTAGCTATTATATGTGAGGCAACTAGTCATCCACCTATGCCCAATACATACGATTTCAAATTTAGAGGTAGAAAT